TGCGTGGGGTGGGGGGGGGGGGGAGCACAGGCTCTGACACATTATTTCCTGTGAATATTTCCAATTCAGTACTTAATCTCAGTCCCAATGTCAGGATACAGTCCTAGGAATGAATTAGTTAAATAATTTGCTAGATTAACAGTGTCTGAAGCTAGTGTTTTTAACTTTTGGACTTTCGGTATTTCTATCGCCTTTTATACAAGAGCACGTCTACCTAAAAATCGCAAATAAATCACACATACAACTGCACTTTCATTCCCCAAACCACCTGATGTGAGGACCATAGATTTTAATTTTTTAATTTTAATTTTAACTCCAAGCCAAACTCCTCAGGAATTTAGCACGTTCAGCCCTTCTGAGAGGCAGCATCACAAATCGGTCAGGAGGCGGCAGCAAAGGTTAATAAACTGTTTCCTTGGTGTGGCCACGGCACACATTCAGCCAAAGCTGCTCAGCAATACCAGGTGGTTTGTGCCTTCAGAATTCCAGCTAACTTAAAAATAGATGTGTTATTTTCTCTTCTGCTGACAGGATATCCATGCATGGTTAAAACCAGACGCAGTCTCGATTGGGAATTTTGGCTCTATGTTCTTCACAAACCTAAATATGGGACGCACAAGCGCTGTGCTCAGCTGGAGACTGCCATCCTTATCAGTGGGTCATAAGAAGCTTACCAATAAATGAAATGTAACTGTTTTCTGACATACAAACCAGTTTGCTTTTAAGATTTATGAACATCTGTTTTCAGATCTGAATAACCAATCTAGCTTTTCAAAAGATTAACAGCCATTATATAGCCAACAGGTAGGACAGACAAGTTCTCATCCAATATCTCCATTTACACATACAAAGCATTTGCAAAAATCTGCAAAGCCCAATTTCTGAGGGGGGAAAAAAAAAACCGAAACCAAAAACCACATTAAGTTCAACTTCCTTCTAATGTGGTTTAGCTGCATGTTTCCTGTACTTTTGATTACCTGATTTTTTTTTTTTAATTGCCACTAAAAAAAGCAAGGTGTAATAAATACTTTTTGTAACAAGTACTGTGGCAAATTCCTCTCTCCAAATCCAGACATTTTTCTGTATTCAGTAAGTGACAGATGAACTTACCGGAAGCTTTGGAAATGCGGAACAACAACATAGTCCCAGTCAAGAAGGTAAACACATTATAACTTGTCCAAAACAGTATTATTTTTAAAAAGCAGTGACCCCTCTTCAGGAAAAAAATCCTTATATTCAAGAAACTGTCCTTCTGGAGCAACATTCAGTTGCAAAACTTTTCTTATATATTCGTTAGTGGATTTTTTTCCATGGCTTTGAACATCAGGAAAAAATGAAAAGAAAGTTCCACTGTTGTTTTTTTTGGGGGTGGGGTGGTACATACTTGCATGTGTGTGAAAGTTTAAATAAATTCTGAAGCGAAGCAACAGCCGACAGAGAACACCAATTATTAACCTCCCTTCACTCTTATCTGCCTGTCTTGAGAAGTTTACCAGGTCTTTGTTTTAAAACCCAATCCTGAACCTTTGCATAATCTATTTTAAATTGCAAACTTCTCACATTAATAAAATGAATTACAAATGCGAGAGTGCTTTACATTTCTATCTTCATGGGCTGCTTGACTACATTTGGAAATCTCATAAGTTTAGGGATTGGTTTGGGTTTTTTTTTAAACCAAAATCTTTAATCTATCATTTAAAGACACTCCAGAAAAGCATTTATTTGTTTCTATTTCATGTTAAGTAACTTAAGTAGCTGCATGCTTTAATTCACTACTCAGTTCTTCAAACACGACAGTCACATACATTGACTGCACCATAAGGGTAATAACTGGATCTTCTTAAGTATAGTTGCATATTTTAAATTATCACTATAAATGTATGGTTTTCCTAAGAAGGTGAGTTTTCTTTTTCAGAATTATGGCTTGTTTGTGGCATTTTCTGAAGTGACAAATAAACAAAGGCAATCTGGATTCTTCTTCACATACACATCAGAATGATTCCAGATTTCAGCTGGAGTTGTCTCATGCTACTGAACTGAGTAATTATTACTAGGAAAACCCATTTGTAATACTTGTAATATTGGATTTGTAATATTACAAACACTGCTTTGCATTTATTTTCAGAGAAGCGATTATTCATTTATGGCATTGATTCCAAGTACATCCTTTTCTGAGATCACTGAACGGGCAGATTAATACTGCATCTTGAACAGGAGGCCATCAAGCACTTGGCCAATTTTAATCACAGTGGTTATTCAGCTGAGAGCTTAGTTCAAGAATGATGTGCTCTGAGCTT